AAAAAAAAAAATTTGTGGTCAAAAGAATATAAATCTATCATGTAAATTTGTGGCCAAAAGACATAAATCCATCAAATACTAATTAATCTGTCAAAATAAGATAAATTTGTTGCCAAAGGAAAATAAATTTGTGACAAATTAATTAAGTCTGTCAAATTTGAGAAAATTTGTCTCTAAATGTAAATAAATCTGTGATGGCAATAATTAAGTTTGTCAAAATTAAGTAAATCTGTAACCAAAGTGGAAAAAATCCATGGAATACTAATAAATCTGTCAAAATAAAATAAATCTATGGACAAAGAAAAATAAATTTGTGACAAACTAATTAAGTCTATCAAATTTAAGAAAATTTGTGGCCAAAGGAAAATAAATCTATTGAAAGTTAATTAAGTCTGTCAAACTTAAGTAAGTCTATGGCAAAAAAAAAAAAATCTGTTAAGTAAATCTTTGAAATATTCATAAATCTGTCAATATTAATTAAATCTGTGGCAAAAAAAAAAAAATTTGTCGAAAAATAAAACTATCATCACATTAAATTAAGTCTGTCATATGGCAAAACCGTAATTTTTTTTTTTTTTTTCAAAATTTTTGGTAATGGCATTTCTGTAAATAAGGTTTTTACTAACAAATGATTTGAGGGCAAAATATGCACGAAAAATAAGTAGTAATTAAAATAAAATAAGAGCTAATCTAGTAATTAACCAATAAATTAGTGCCAAACTAATTTTTTCCCCTAAAAAAATCGTATAACATATTAATATTTCACTTTGTAATAATTTAGGTAAAAAAAAAAAATTCTATGATTTCTAAGTTTTGTACCAGTAAGAAAAAAAACCAAAAAAAAAATTAAATTTTTTTGTTTTTGAATAAAATGAATATTACTTCTATTATTCTCAGTTACTCTATTTATTATTTTTTCCATCTTAATTACATTCTTCTCAAGTTTTTAATGTTCACCAATCGCACTCTATTACAGAATGATCGTAGCTATCTACTGCTAAGAAAAAGTTAATTTTCTACTCCGATCCCAAACTTGTAGAGTCTGACTAATTTTCTATTTCCACACCATATGATATCGCTCGTAGGAAGAAAGAGGAAAAATATTTCTTCTGGTTTTATCTAGAACCCACCATCAAAGATTTTTTTTCCATCAAATACTTTAGTTTTTTTGGAAGAAAACTTCCTCTCAATAAAAAATGGGTGAAAAGTTTTGTTTTCATTTCATCTCTCTTATTGTGAACCCCGAATAACTTTTTTTTTATATGCAATATGTGGCTATTTAGCGGGAGCTACAAAATGGCTACGAATCATGCATGTAGCTAAATGGTGACATATTTAGCTTCAAGTTGGTAACAAAATTCCCGATCCTCGCTATATGTTGTCATTCCTAAGCCATATTATATAGCTACAAATCTGCCGTAACCAATTCATAGCTATACCATACAATTTGTAGTGATCAAGTTCGGTTTTTAAATTAAAAAGCATCATATACGCGTCATTTGCAATATGTAAGATGATGGATGTCTCATCGTTGCAAATTTAGTCATATAGAACAAAAGCTTT